TGTCATCCGGCCAAGACTTTCCATATGACAATGCCCCGGCAGCCGTAATGAGCTGGCCAGGAGGCAAGGACACTCACACCCCCTTGGGTTCCACTTCCACCACAGCAGGCGGTCGCATGTCCTGCCAAAGTAAATTAATTGCAGGAGAGCCCCTTGATCCGGAGACCTGCTCCCGTTTGGCTACACGTGCAACTTGTGTGCAAATTAACATTATCATCAACAAGGACCGCTAGCTGGCTCGTGTCCTTCGCCTTCGCAAAACACTTGCACTCGCCCTGCGTAGATTAATCGGACTGATTAACCACACGCAGCTCGCCAGCAGGATCATTTGGGGTAACTGGAACCGGAACGGAAATAGGAATATAACCCGCTGACCCCTCTCATTGTCCTGCCTATTCATTATGCAATTATTTCGAATGACTTTCGTAAGTGATATTTCCTTGGCTTTCGTGCCGTCAGGAAAATGCATTCATCAAGGCAAACGGGAATCCATTTAGGCCAAATGGGGTTAGTGCTGAGCCAGCTGAGATGGATGTGGCTCTGGATAAATAAATTAGACCCGGAAAATAGTTAACATTGTTCTGTCCATTTGGAAAACCTTAATGTTAAAGAAGACATACAAATCTACTTAAAATTATACAAACAAAAAAATTAAGTTCATAGTTCTTAAGGTTTTAATTAAAATTTAATGTGTGCTTCCTTAAAGAAGCTGCAATAATTTCCCATCTGATTAAAATTTAAAAAAAACATTTTTTAACCTAATTTATAAAAGCAAAACAATTTTAAAGTTTTAAAAAATTGAAGCACGCTACCATAAAGTTACAAAAACATTTTTCTCAATAAAACATACCTAATTAGAAAGCAATAAAAAATCAGTGCACAAGCGTTTTGAAAAAGATTTAATATCCACTTAGTCATTCGGAATATATGATTATCGCGCCATTGAAGAGCCCATATATCACAGCCAAGTATAATTTACGGTCATAACAATTAAGTCTTAAAAATGTTTCGCATATTTCAGCGCACGACATAAATTACAGTTGCCCAATTTACAGTCGAATTTTTCTTATACAAGAAGTACTATGTGAAAGGTGGCCACACAAACACACCGCACTTTGGGAATCCCGGAGAGAATCGCTGCCCCACAGGCTGACCAAGAAGTCACGGCCCACGAAATCCCTTTGGGACAAAAAGCGGGGAATTGGCCGAGGCTTTGTTTCGAACGTATTAATTGAGGCAAATAAAAAACAGATTTATTGTACGTGCTCAAGTGGATCGTACTGGGGAAGGTTCAAAGGTTTTTGGCTATAAGAGGGGGAGTCCATTGACCTACTAAAGCTTAATTGGGCTGATCTGTGGTCTCGTGAGTAATTAATATTTGTTTTGTGTTCTTGATAATCATTGGATTTTATAATTAATTTTTATAATCAGAACTAAATGTTAAAAAAATATAATCAATATTAGATTAATTTTAAAAAAACATCAAAGTTTGTGTATAAATGATCCTTGGTTTGTTTTTATTGTTTGAGGAAGTTTAATGGTATTAACGGCGTGGACCAGAGCAACAATAAACAAGAACAACTAGATCTCCATAGACCGCAACGAAAAAATAAATAAAGCAACTAAATAAATTCTTGGGAAAGTACATAGAAATTATTGGCAACAGTGAGTTTCGTATGCCTATTGAATCTTTTAAGGAATCAATTGCGAAAATAATAATTACAACACTCACAAAAATGAACCTAAACCAAATAATGTTCAGTTCCTGTTCCATTCCTGACATACACATACAAATACATTGTAGCTATATTTAAATTAATGAGGTATTCAGTAACCTAATTATCAATTTAAAGACAACTTTATTAACTTTGCCCATTCAAATGGACAAATAGGAAAATTTAAATACCTCAAAATTATAATTATTAAATGGACCCCTTAAAATTATTTGTATGTTCACGAATCACTTCCAATAAGCACTGTTTGGGATAGTCAGTCAGTCGCTTTTTTGCTGTTCGCTTGTTTGGCAATGAACCAAAAATACGTTTTGGCCAGCAGACACTACAATAAAAGCAGCAACAACAACAACTGATTTGTACAGGTGCGAAAAGTCTGTGATCAGTTAGATGTGAGGCGAACTCTGCGATCGCGTCATCTCATAGAGTGCCCTTTGGTGGCGCCTGCTGGCGACTCTCAAAGTTTTCCCCAAAAATGAGAGGAAGACGATCTTATTTACGTCTTGGCCCATTCGATGTTCTACGAAATGGACAAAATTGGAAGGGGCGAAGCAGTCGAAAGTGTGTTTTGTATTTCTTCCGCTCCTCCTTGGCTTTTAATTATTGTTCTAGTGCACAATTCGCTTTGTCCGCTTGTTTACTTGTTTGGTTCTTTTTTTGTTGGTTTTCGACTATGAGATTTTATTTATTTATATAGTAGTTTTGGGATCACTACAAAATGTGATTCGTAGAACTTAAATGATCCTTTAAAATTATATTAATTATTATTTGACTCAATCAAAGACCATAATCTTCTTTTTAATTATATTGATGAGCATAGCTTTATCGATTCCTTTTAAAAATAAAGCTTCAGTTGCTCATTTCGGTGTTTTTGTTTCCTCAATTTGTTTTCGGATATTCCCAGTGTTCAAGTTTTATTTTGGGTTGAGTATATTTTGAATCAAAAACAGCAGCGGATGCTCATTGTTGTTGCAACTTGTAATTGGCCAGGGACGGTAATATAAAAATAATTTCCTCTCGATTTTGTGAACAGATGAAAAATACATAAATAATTCGATTCAATCAAACGAATGGGCATATAATCACTCTTAATTGAGTCACATAATTTGGTTTATGACTTAATGAGGCGAAAAATATTTCTTTATGTTCATTATATTGTTGAGTTGTGCCAAAATAATAAAATAATCATAATTCAATTAAGCATTTCATGTGTCTATTTTTCTCTATATAATTGATGATGTACTAATATGCGTTGTTTTATACATATATTAAAATTCATAAATGTTAAAACTTATTGATTTTCGTTTATATATAATAACCAAAAAGTTTTTGATTTCTTAAAATTCTTTACAATGTTTTTATAAACATTTAGTGCGAATTTTGGAGCAATGTTGCTTTCGTGAAATTCTTATTGAAATACTTTTAATTTTTTTTGGAGTAATGTGTTGTTATCCAGTTAATTGAGAAGAAGACAAATGTATTAAAAAATAAAAATGAAAAAATAATAAATTAACTTATTCTTATAACAATTTCCAATTAACACTTTTGGTTGACGTGATATTCCTAAAAAAAAACAATAAAATGAGAGTTTACTTTTGGGTCATGAAGTCACCAGAGTCTCCTTTTATCTTCTACTTATTCGCAATTACAAATATTAACTTGATTGAGATTGTTCAACGCACGCACCGTTTGGCCACGCCCACAGTGTGTCAAACACGCTAATTTACTGTTACATTATTTATACACACACACATGCACACACTCTCGCAAACATTGGCGAGCACACACTGACAAGCATACGAAGCATGGCTATGTAGAAGCGATAAAACTGAAAGGTTGTCACTTTGGCAGCGTTAGGCGGTCGCTCGTGTTGGTTGGGATAGGCAATGGCAATGGTGTTGGAAGCCGGGCGGCCAAGGGAGGTGAGGGGGTGCTGCTGCTGTGGGGAAGGGGTGGTGCAGAGGGGGAGGCATAGAAAAACAACGAAGAACTTGGCGAATGGGACAACAGGGCGCATGAGCGATATGTGTTGGCAACATTTATTGCGCATGCAACATGTTGACAAGGTGGATTGTGAGTTTAACAAAAGAATTTTTAAAAATATTTAATTGGAAATTTTCAAGTTATGTATCATTTTTATTTATATGTAATAAATTTGTATTAATCAATTTAAAAAATGATTTACATTACTTTGTGCTAACAAGGGATTGAAATTTATAAAATCATTAATTTTTGGACACTTTTTTTGTCCACATTAATTATGAACTTTAGAAAGTGTTATAAATTAATACAAAAGATATAGAGGTATTTGAATGTTTAAATATAATATAATTATAAAATGAATAATAATATAATTATAAATTAATTAAAAACTAAAACATTTAATATTTTATTTGGGAAAAAAATGTTTTGAGTTCATGTTTGGACTTTATAACCTTAATGAACAGAGAGGACAGTAAAACTTCTGCATGCAAAGAGCAAAATAGTTTGATTTAATTCCATTTAAGTTGAATACACATAAACGGTTTTGTTAAGCCAATGATGAATTTAATAAAATAATAAATATTACATTTCAATATACATTGAAAATTTAGGATACATGTGGAAGGTATGGACAATTTGAAGAATTGGTAAAATATATTAATAATTAAAGTCCAACATTGTTATTAATAACTTTAAAATGATTTGTTTTCTTGTATAAGTTGAATATGTAAGTTACTTAATTTTTAAAATTAAAAAATATTTTTTAAACTTTGACGTTCATTTTAAATAATATAAGAAATATGGATTTATAAAAATCCTTAAAATATTGATAGCTGCGAATAGCATCCACAAATTTTCCCGCCAATTGCAGGCCAAGCCGAAGTATCTACAAACAAACGCCCGCACACACAGACACACTCTCTAACAACCCCGAAAAGCCGCAAAGCAAACAGGGGGGTGGGGGTGTTGGGTGGTGGGTGGGTGGTAATTGCAAAAGCAGGGGGCATCCATTCGTCTGACGTTTGGTCGTAAGGCGTAAAATCTGCAAAGCTCAACACTGAGACCAAAAGCCGGTTTCCCAACCCCCCCACAATCCACCCAATAAACCCCCCTACCCACTGTTATTTACATTTTGTTTTGCCGGCTTTTCCACACGAAGTAAAACCCGACAGATACGCGAACCAAAACGAGTGGAAAATCCGAAAGATACACGAGCCTTTATTAACGATTCGGGGCTGGCTTTATTTCCCGATTCCCATCCACCGATTCAGTTGGCAACGGCCCGCACGCTGAAACGGTCATATGCGCTTTTCAGTCCGCTAAAAAGAAATTCAAGAGATCTCTCTATGTGTTTTTGAATACTTTTCTGATTATTTGGAATCCTGAGTGCCGCGTGTGTTATTTTGAGTTATCGCGATTGCGGCTAAGTGCAATTAGTGCCACAAATTTAGTGCAATAAATTGGAAAATTTATTTCTCTTGCCAGGCGAATCATTAGCAAATGAATTAACCAAAGATATTATTAGTGCTGTAGTGAGTGTGAGTTTTTAAGTGCTCAAGTTCCAGTTGCTCCAAGGTAATTCCTCCCGAACATCTATTACTCTAACGTCAGACCCTAAAAATATGTCACAAAAAAATAACAAAATGTCGCGCATGTTAATTAAGACGAGGCATAAAAAAAGACAGAAATTCTGAATGGTAGTGGGGCCAATGCCAATCCATCCATCACTCAATTGCCTGTTCAGCTACGGATTTTTCGACTTCTCCACCCATAAAACTCTGATTTTCTATTATTTTTGTTAGCCGCTTGGAAAGCAAATGTGCATTAATTTTAATTTGAACATCGAGAGAGTCGGGTTCACATGTGTTTCATTATTTTTTAATCTTGCGTCAGGCTGGCCTGTTGGCGATAAATAATCAGCTGGCTGCGAGTGCGATAAATATTTATGCAAGTGGACTCACTTGTCTAAACAGATGCCGCAGACAATCTCATGCGAAGCGATCCCCGGCACTTAATAAAATCTGTGGAAAATTAGACTATATCAGACATTCAATCTGGGGCCCATAAACTCCGTTTGCTCTATGGCCGATTTCGGATTTGTTTGTTTATCTTGATGCAATTTGCCCGGCCACGCCTCTCAATTAAATCGCAGACCGAAAAGTTATTCCTTTGGGGCGATCCTTTGTTTTGATGTTATCAGCTGAGAACTTGCCGTAGTTGCATGTTGGCTAACAAAATAATTGACAAAACAAATCATTTACGTGGCAAAAGTTTTCAGCCCTCCCCGCATTTCTGCACCCCCTTAAGCCCAGTCATCGCTTAAATTGCACACGGCGGCAAGACACGCAACATGTTTGATGACAAAAAAGCAAACAACAAATATTTCGAAAATTGTGCAACATTCGGGGGCACAGAGAATTTCGAGCAGAAATATAAATAACAGCATAATAACTAAACAGACCGACCGAGTGAAGAGATAAATGAGCAGAATCGAAAGAAAATAGAGGATGGGATCGGCTGAGAACAATACATTCCTTTGGGAATTTGTAGATATTATACATTAGGTTTCCACAGAAACTAAAATATTAGACTGCATTTAAATTTTTGATGTTATTTAAATATATCAAAGGATTACATTTAGCTACGAACAATGTGAAAATAATTATATTGCTTAAAAAACATTTTTGAAAAGAAAGCATAGTTTCTGAATGAGAAAGAAGTTAAATTTTCGAAAAATAAATAAAATATTTTGGCAAGTAAATAAATCATTTCAATTTTGACTGCAAAAAACATGATCTGGATATATTATTAAGCAGCAGACATGATCTGTATATTATGACAGATGGTTAACATATTTGTTACGGTGTATTGTTAGCAAATATGTACTATATATTAATTGAGATTTTATTTTCTTTACTTTGAGAGTTGAACTAAATTATTCAGCATTTAATATATTTCAAAAATAGTGTATCTTAAAAAAGCATAAAAATAAGTTCTTAAAAGAATAATACTCTGTGAAAGTTCAGTGATTAGGTGGTCTAAAATAGAACAAACTAAACCTCAAAATCGGATTTGAAAATCAAACCAAATGCAAACGCTTGTTTAACCGCAAGTTAAATGATATTATGGGCAAACAAACCGCAAAAGGCCCATTCCTGCGGGAAATGGATTGGGGTTTTCCGGGGTTACTGTTTGGTTGCGGCTCACAGTCGATTGCCTGATTTACGGGCTCGCCCGCATACGAAAAGCTCATTGCAATAGTCAACATGTTAACATGTTGTTAAACACACGGTGGTAAAGCAAAAAGGTGGCGAACATTTTTACGGTCCGTTTTTGGATAGAAATCCCCACATTTATGGCTACTAGATTTTCGGTTATTGCCACGCCGCGTTGAATAGTTCGATGATATGGGGTTTCCTGTGGAGTCCCTTCTCTGTTGGCATAATAATTGCGACTGCTGCTGTTCGGTTTATTAAAAACGTATTACTCCCAATCGAACGCATTACAGTAGGTCATAGTTTTATTGCCATTCCTACATATACTGCATGTTAATCGGGTATAAATAGACACAAATAGTAACAAGTCATTGTCCTTGGCGATCTGCAGGTGACGATTGCTTAAACAAATATTTGGCCATATAGTTTATAGCTTCGGTGGATATTCATTCAAGTATACGCTTAGTTTATGTTCCGGCGATTGGCGTGTGAAAAACTTTATAGCATTTTAATTGCTCCAACTTTCGATTGCCTCACAGGTCACATGTGCACATCTCCTGAAACTTATTCATCTCGATCGTGTTTATTTATGTGCCTCTAATTTACGCGAGTAATTTTACCTATGTTCGATTTCATCGAACTTACCCCGCCTGAATTGTGATAATATTATAAAAGTTTCAACAACTTCGTCGTCGTCACCTAGGTTGAAGTATTCTAAACTACTGCGTAGAAATTTTCGGGCTATGCAAAAAAAATAACGTATGCTCTTGAAGTAGAAACATTTTAATAACAAATTTATATAACTGTTTTCTATAATAAATTTGTATACATATAAAAAAGTTAAAATTAACTTTTTAACGATAAGACAGTACAGTAAAAAGTTAAATAATGACTTAAATATTTTTGAATATTTTTAAGAAATTAGTCTTCTTGAGTGCACCAGGGTTTTTCAGAGCAAAATTCAACTGTTAATTTTGGACAGCTGACTCATCAAAGGCCACAGTCGTATTAACTTTTCATCTAAACAGCCAAAAACCACAAAACTATTTAACGTTTTCTGCAGTCAAAATGAAAATCAGTGTTTATTGGGGGGTCTAGGGGTAAAATTCCGAGCATATTAGAGCCATCTGCCCGGGGGCGCTGGTGCATCTGCAACTGCAATTCGCAGGTGTTGAGATGCCTTCTAATTTATGAGCTGTGCATAGTGGGTTAATGTAATAGCAAATGGCCCATTGCGGTTTGAGTTAAACAAGATGGCCCCCCAAACTGCCACAAGGTCGCCTGCCTGGGAGCGGATTAAAGTGGGTGGTGGTGGATTCCAGTGGTTAGCATTTACATGCTCCATTTGGCGGCGACGAGGAAGCGAGTTTTAGAGTAAAATAGTTCAATTGGAGCTTAGGGAGCACGAACACGAGAACGGGAAACCAAATCCGAAATCGGTCGATAATTTCATTGCTCCGGCTTCCCACTTGATTAGCATTCCTTTGTGGGACAGATGTCTGGGGTTATTTATCTTAAACGAAAAAAAAACAAATGAAACATTACCTCATTTAAATTTCTTTTTAAACATTTTAACTGTTTATAGTGCAAATTCTTTGTTAAGCCATTGTCTTTAATTTTATTTATTGAATAATATTCTTAGATTTAAAGAAGGCAAATTTAAATAGACATGAATTTTTTATAATTTAAACAAGTTTATTATTCTAATACAGTTTGAAATAAGGAAACATACTTTTTAGAATGGATGAAAATATAAAAATATATATTTACATTTTTAAACTTTAAAAATATAACAAGTAAATTAATAATATATTTACTCTGAAAACATTTTTCTCTTAATTTGTTATTTTAATTGATTAAAATTTTATTTTAAACGAATAAGAACAAAGAGACAAAGAAAAGTTATTAAGAAGTTGCTGGTTACTTAATTAGCTTGTGAACTCTGATGTATCATTATATGTTCAGCTATTAAACATTTTAATTCGAACAAACAGTAACGAACAAATCTAATAAACTTGTAATGTATTCAATAAATTCCAACGAATAAATATTCATATTAAGAGCGGTTGGGTCAACTATGCAGCTTTGCGAATTCAGTGAGCCTGTAATAAACCGCTGAAATATTACGCATACGCCAGGGAGGCATAAATAAGTAAGCAAAACGAAGTATTTTCCGATCTGATTGATGCCTTCCTGCCGGAAAATCATTTTAGCCCCATGGCGTGAAATTCACTTTCATTCGGTTTTGACTTTTGTTGTTTTGGCCTTTTCGTTGATGCCATGCACATTTGCAGGCTTTTGTTTGCGCGGTTTACGTGTTTGGGTTCATGTGCCACGGGATTTTATTGATTCCAGCTTGAGTCACTGCCAAGAAACAAAGACAGGGACTCGTCGAGTGGGCTAAAGCCAAGGCGAAACAAGGCGAAATAATTAGCAAGGCAGCTCGTAATGTTGGGCCATAAATCCAGAGCCTGACATTTCGTGTCAAGGCTCGTCGGCAAATCGATTGATAAATTAATTAGAATTAGTCCTTGAAAAGCCATACTAAATATTTATAGGATTCGGATAAAGCTCCGCCCAGGAATAATCGAATTTAAGTGCTTCTCTGGAAATCAATTGTAATTTTAAATGTCCATCAATAGTGGTGGTGTAGAATGATGAACCTTTAAAGCTTAGCCTTAACAATACCCAAATCCCATGATGCACATCGCTTTATATACATAAATCTGCTATATCTGTATCCTCCGCCCGACAACGAAGCCACTTAAGCCAACTTGGAATGTAGCTGACAAATGAAGACTGACATTTACCAAACAATTGAGCTACTGAAAAAAGGAAGAAATGAAGAGAGCTGAAAAACAGAAAAACCAAATTATTCCGCTTACAACTTGTCGCGACTGTTGAGTTTTTGAAAGCAACTTGTTGTCATAAGGCTGCAGATTTCCGCGCTAGCGCTCCCATTTTTTTCCGACTCTGTGCTGAACGTGAAAGATTTAAAATAAAACCACTTAGCCGCTGAGCTCCATTTGCAACAATTGTTTGAGCCTCGCGAGCCATGATAAAGTGTCCTTGGAGACATCAGTTACGTAAGCGGACGCGGGGAAACCCGAAATTTACGACAAATGCTTGAGCTTTTGGGGGCGCAGCATTTTTGAATAATTTAAACACTTGGCGGATGTGGGGTGACAAATATATGAGTGGGTGGGTCTTTGTTTTAAGATTAAAATGTGTCTGAAAGTGATAATAATTAGAAAAGAGGAGGAAATACTCAAGAACATATTGTCATTAGCTTTATAATAATAAACTGTGTTTGTGTTCAATTTTAGTGTTCTAAAATAAAAACCTGTAGGTAGTTTTGATGATCTACTCAACTATAGCAAGTTATAAAGATAATAAATCATTTTTCATATTTTGACGAAAAACATTTTAGTCTTATCCACCATTATATAATAATTTTAGACGATTCTGTATCTTAACACTTCGACTGAAAAAGCCATTTTGTTTTTCTTACATTGTTAATAATTACTAAAACACATTACTAAATCTTCGATTGCTCTGCCTACTTGTTTCCTCTTCAATAAATTTCCATAGTTCCTGTAATTACTTAAACCCTTCAAGAAAATTTCCGAACTCACGGGCCATTTTCCTAAATTCCAGAAATGGGATGCGTAAATCCTTCGATAAAATTCCGAAGTGCCTGAATAAAATTTATAAGAATTTGGATGGCCAGCCAGACGTATCCGCTTCAATTTAAACAATTAATGTCAATCTGCGCCGAGGGTGAATAATTTTTGTCTGCTCTAGATACATTTATAGTGAGGAAATTATATTAAAAAGTAAGTTCATTTGAAATCATTTGATTCGATTCCCCAGAGAATCTATTTACTCAACATTTATTTTATGCGAATGTAAATACAACGCAAGCCGTGACGCTGTGTATTTGTTTATATATTTTTAAAAGGCTAAATAGAAATAGGCAAGGGAATGGGGGAAATCTTTGAATTGTGTTAGGTGGTCAAAAATAGAGTGAGGCGAAAAATTCGGATGCTTTTGAGTACTACCTGGGGCGCTTCTAAGTGGCACCCATTGCGAGATTTTGGCCTATGTATGTTTTTTTAGTTCATTATTAACTGAAAGCTGACAGTTGGACATGTAATTGTATTTAATTGAAAATGAAAAGCCTCACATAGAATCACACTCAAATACAGAATGCACACCTGCAATCTCGCACACACATTCGGGCGATTTGAATGTCAGACTGGCAAAGTTTTCAGCTTCTGGCATCGTCCGTTGTCTGGCGGAAATTTCAACGTGTTCGGGATGTCAACATTTCCCTTCCACTTTCCCACCCACCGTTCCCCCACATTTTCCCCCACTATTCAAATGCAGAAAATGCAACAAGTTGCCAGGCCAGCTAACAAAATGGCGGAAACGTGTTGCTGTCGGCGTTGACTGGAAAATCAAAGCTCCACGCTGGATTCATGAATTATGGAATGCATATTTGAACGCAACTTTAAACTTTTTTATTGCCAAGGGGAGGAGCGGCGTTGTGGCATCCTAATTGTGGAAAACTTTCGCACACGCTTCATATCCTGGCAGCCGGTCCACGTAGCACGTCGCCGTCGCTGTTCATTGACTTTGGCAGCGTACAAGGATGCAGGACACACAGTGCGACTTTGTTTTTAATACACTCGACTCGACTCGCCTCGACTCCAGCTGCATCGATCGGCGGGACAAACAAGGCCCGTCGCCTGTCTGGTCCTGCCGCAGTTCATTACTCCGCCGGCCGGCCATCCTGGCCCTTCCTATACACAGAAAAAAAATTGAGATCATATCTTGGTTTTTATACAGCTTAAAGGGTTTTTACATATAAGATACCTTTATTTTTTGATGGTAACAAAATTAGTTTTTACTTACGTTGCTACTTTGTTTAAACAATTTAAACAATTAATTTTGCTTTTTAGATTTTTCAAAGGAAAATAATAATTGTAATTATAATTTATAAATTTATAACTTTAGAATTTGGTTGACTGCATTATTTTTCCCGCACCTCCCGGAGATTTCTCCTGCCACTCTGTTATCCCGTGACTCCTTGCTTTTTTGTTATCCGCTGTCGATGCTCACGTCGAGCCATGACAAAGATTATCAATAACAAGTCCAAGGAAGATACACACGCCAGCGTGTGTGAGTGCGTTATCCTTGCAACGGATATTGGCTACGCCACAAGCTGGCATCGCTCCGTTCGCCACTGTGCATCGAATGTCCTGTCCTGTGTGTTGGCCATCCATATCAATTGTGTCCTCATGCCTTTGTTTGTTCACTGCGAGTTCCGAGGGCTGTTCCATTTAAATATTCAACAGCTTAATGTTAAGTTATCATTTCCATAAAGCCAGTTATTACAAAATTTTATTTAAATTGCCTATCCCTTAAACTATTTGAGGCAGAAATATACGTAGTAAAAACAGGATATTAAAAATAAAATATTCAATAACAATAATAATTTTAGATGAACGGCATTTCTTGTTATGTTATCTTATAAATGGTATTAGATTATATTTATATTTGGAACGTAGTCTTCTTCCTTTTATTATAAAATAAATGTTATACATTTCTCAACAAAGATAAATAAAATATAGGAAATTAATTATCGAAATCGTCCTTATATTGATTTTTTTATGACTTTGGAAGTTTATTTTTCCATCTATATCATCCAATTGAGTAAAATCGATTTGTCCTATATTTCTCATGGACCGATTCTTTGTTTTTCCTTGAACAGCCAAAAACAATATCAACATCAACGCACAAATGATATTTTTTAGTTGGCAGCTTGGAATACCCAACATATCCGCCCATCCTCCGTCCGAACTCGTATTCTCGCATTATAATTTGCAATGTGTTTTCTGGCAGGAAGTTGCCGCTGAAAATTTGCTGAGAAAGTGGATGGCAGGTTTGGCGGGTGAAAAGGTGTCTGGGAGGTGGCCGACCATGGCCGAGCTTGTCATATCCTGTTGGCATCCGAGGTTCAGGTGGAGCATCCTCCACACCCTCACCCTGCCATCCCGGAAGTGTGAAATATTTTTACCTGGCCCGCCGCCAGCCTCACCTGAATTTACCTTCTTCTTATGTGGCATGGAATTTTTGCGTTGGAGCGTATTTTATTGGTATTTTGTACGAAATTTGTGGCCAGCTAGGAATTCTTTCAGCAATTTTCGTATTAAATTTTTCGGCTTTCCCGACGGCTACGATTTCCCTGGAAATCTCTTAATTAAGCCGAAAATCCCAACGAAACAAAAAATACTCGAATTCGCGCTGTTCGCCGTGCGTATAATTGATTTAGCAAAATCGTTAACCGCTTGAAAGTGGGCAAATTGCATGAGCCTCTATTGGAGGGCCTGATCCAAAATCAGGCCCAAAAAGGGCTGTAAGTCCGCTGGGGAACCTTTTAATTTCACGCATGCAGTGCATAAATTTAGCATTTTACCATTTGCATTTACATTTGGCATGGGGCCTTGATTATGCGACACTTGTCAATGGATTTGCATGGCACAGTAGTTGTCCTCTTTTCGGAATTGGCCATTCTGCAGTTTTCCACTTCGATTTGGTGAGAGGATAATCAGGGGATAATCCCGCACACATCCGAAAACTCTAGTTGTGGTTGGGGATTTGAAATTAAAGGGAATTCAACAGAATTTCGGACTGACTTTATTATATCGCAATTATATGTGAGATCTTTCAAAAGCTTTTGTTTATCAGTGGAAAATATTTTCCGCGTTCGAAAATAAGCGATTCCTTTGAATCTTTAAAGTTTACATGTTCTATGGAAAATTAATTATTCCTATTTGGATTAATTTTTTAAGAAGCATTTGCTATAGGTTTTGTTTAAATTATCGTTGCGCAAAACAAAGCATGAATCACGAAAGCAAACTCTTCTTAAAAATATTTATAATTTCTTGTTTGAAAAAATGATAATTAAAATTAATAGTCATAATATAGGATAAATTTTGGGCAAATTATAAAAATTTTTGCATGCATTACACACCGGAAGACTCTTTATTTTTAGAACAAATGATGGCATTATATCTAAATTATTTGTGAACTGTATTATTCCGATTCAAAGTCCCTCCATACAATGTACTGGGGTAATTGTAACTGAACATGCCGCACATTCCACGCCTGTCAACGCTTCTTCACTCAGCGGATTCTTCTTCGACGCATTGTAGCGCCAAAAGTGCAAGTTCTAGAGGTGCAGTTCTCGATGCTAGCCAAATGTTTCTGCTAATTAAATTGACTTCATAGGTCTTTCTATCTTTTTTGGCTCTCTGTTTTGATTGCTGGCCGCGGCGTTTGTTCAAAATGTGGGTCAATTATGCGATTCGTCGCGTCTCAGACAAAAACAACGATGGGTGGAGGATAAAACATCCATCAGAGGCCATTGAAGGGTGCGGGAGGATGAGGATGGGTACTTGTTTGTGGGCACCATTCGCACAGCAGGTTGTCTTATGTAATTATTTGTCAAATTCACACTGAGCACGACAGTGTGGGGCCATCCACTAACGAGCCACTGACACACGGCAACCGCAGAGTCACCCAAACACCATCCTAAATCACCCAACCACCCCCTCATCATTTCCCCGGGCAATCAATCAACAGCTGGCTCATTATGACAATCGAAGTATAGATAGAATTGGTCGAAAGCGAAGCATAAAGATATGAAAAAATATAATGAAGCCCCTTGTATATATGATGGGACCTGGCCAATTGCTTAGTCAGCCGGACCGGGAATCCCAACTTCCGGCCGGGTCCGACAATCGGAAATAATTATCTAAATTTTGTGACAAATGTGGCGGCAGATAAGATTAAAGTTGTGATGCGTGTCGAATTTGCCTCAGTCGCCGAAAAGTATGCATCAGTTCAGGGGTTAAATCCCATCCCATTAGGAACCATTCAGCATCGACATTTTTGTTTCATTGGCCCCATAAATCTCTAAAGCACTATGGTGCGAACATAATTCACTTGACATCGTTGTATTTAGTTTTTTACAAGCGTTTATTTTGGTTGATTAATGTTACACTCTTTATTGGTAAATTATGTGTTAATATAAATATATTTTTTTCTCTTTTGTAAAAACATTTTGGCAAAGTGTATGCATTTATTTAACATAAATATCAGTATATAAATTAACATCAAAGTAGAGGCTAATTGTGCATTTAGTATACATTAAATCAAGTCCAGGCAAATGCATTGAGTGGGAAGACCATTGATCAGACGCACATTCACACGTAGCACTAAATACTATATAAATGAAAGTTTTTTTGTCGGCTTGCCACATTCCCCGATTCCCCGTTCGATTGTTCAGATATTGGTCATAGGCGGGGCCTTGCCTGGGCTTTACTCCCCCGTCCAGATAAGAGCTATCTGGTACTGGTTATAGCGACTGTGTTTGGGCGCTGAAGACTTTAAATCGTCTAGATTTATTTACAATTAATTTTATTTGTCATACATTTCGCTGAGCAAGTCATTTTTGCATTAGACCTATGCGCAAACACAGGAAGAAACAATAAAATGTGCCGGTTCTCATTAAGTTATGTAGAAAAACCATTGTTTATCATATTGTGAACTTAAATTGTTATATCGAATCAATCAAACAATATTTTAAAAATCATTTTCTAACCCATTTAAATATTTTGTAAATTTTTAATAGGTTTTAATTTACAATTATAACTAAAAAATGATTTGAAATCTTCCAATATAATTTGTTCATTTTATATTTTGAGTTTAAGATTTTCTTCCATTTTTTCCCGTGTACGCCTACTTATATGTTTATGTGTATATCTGCTTATGCGTGATCTGCCCCCCAGAGACCCCCCACCCTATTTCTGGCTGCTGCTCCCCCACATAAAACTGACAATAAAAACAAAAATACGCTCACTCATTCACACGCTCATGCCATCTCACTCACACTGATACACCCTCACACTCACACCATGTAACTGTAAACCCAACAAAGCGAATGAATATGAAAATTTTGCACAGAATTTGCGCTTTGTTCTCCAGTTTTTGAAGTTCCTCTCTGTGTTGTTTTTTGGTGGTTCAAACACTTTAGAGCAGGAGGCACTTGTGTCGCTTTGGACCTCGAACCACGGGACATAGCACCGATCGTATAGCCTCATCGAAGACGGTTTTCAAACCCTTTTGGGTTAAGGCCGAACACTCCAGATATTTCACCGCGGCTATCTCCTTGGCCATCGCCAATCCTTGAGGATAGGTAATGGGTGTCAGCTTCTTGTCCTTCAGCTTCTCGATCGTCTGCTTATCGTCGCGAAGATCCAACTTGGTTCCCACGAGGATAATGGGAACACTCGGACAGTGATGACGCACCTCCGGGAACCATTTGGCCCGCACGTTCTCAAAGGAGGCCGGATTCACCAGTGAGAAACAGATGAGAAAGACATCCGTCTGGGGGTAGGACAAAGGCCTCAAGCGATCGTAGTCCTCCTGACCCGCAGTATCCCAGAGTCCCAGATTGATGGGCTTGGCATCCACCATCACATTGGCCGAGTAGTTGTCGAACACGGTGGGTATATATTCGCCGGGAAAGGCGTTGGTCGTATAGCTGATCAGCAGGCAGGTCTTACCCACCGCTCCGTCGCCCACAACCACACACTTGATGGCCTGCATTTTGTAGTGGGTAATCGATGAAATCAGAAGCTCAAGAGGTTGATTTATGCAGAGGGTTTTTAGTAGATCAGCGGATTCAGTCGTTTTCCAGTAGTTCGACTGGTTTTGTTTTATGGTTTTTATGCAGTTTCTTTGTTTTGATGACTGGTAATCATTAAATTTAGTAGGTCAACCAGTTTTTGAATGTATTTTACTTTTTTTTATTTAATATTTGGCAGCTCTTAAAGTGTTGTTGCTTTTGTTGATTTGATCTGCTGTTGAGAAGTAATTACTAAGTTCAGCGCAGTTAAACAAAAATTTTAGTCATTAAATTGTTTTCGTTTTTTTTTGCTAATTCCGTTTCTTAGCAAGGTTTTTTGATTTGTAAGTTTTTTGTTCTCGCGTTGGCGTTTTTTATTTTATTATTTTTTTTGGCTATTATACAATAATTTGCTCACGCACAAATACACATGCTGCCCACACAAACAGAGACACAGGTACAAAGAGAGATGTGCGAATTTAAATTGGAGTTTAGGTTTTCGCGAGAGTTTTTCAATCAATTTTCTTGATTGAATGCAGAACTGTGACGTCGTTCTTCCTGTTTGTCGGTTGTGTTTATATATTTATGAATTAATTAAGCCCGCATATGTGGAATCGCTGAGCTGATACGGAAAAAAACACGCCCAAACGCTGTGAAATCTTCGCGGCGATTGAAGAAAATTTCTGCCTCTCCTAGCTATCCAACGGGTTGTTGTTGTTGTACTTGTTTTTATAGTAGTTTTCTCTCAACTTGTTTTGAGAGCCACTAGCACTATGTCTATCTCGCTCGATCGCATGCGACATCCCCCTAAGTTAAATACCTTGCGCACACTCTCTCCCACACAATGATCGAGAGAGAGAGCACAGTGGCCTCCCAATAAATTAGTCACGGCCCGAAATGAGTCATTGCGGTGACGTTAGTCGTGGCAATCCATAAAGAGCACTGTGATTACAGAGAGAGAAAGGGAGAGAGGACGAGTGGGAGGGGAGGGGGCGCTCTCTTCACTTGACCTTGCTTTGGTCTTTTTTGTAGAGTTTTCTATATTTGTTCGGCGATTTTCCACGAATTTCCCTGCCTTCACTTGTTGTTTTGAACCAATTTCCACACGACTATTGGCACCACTGTCAGAGATGGGCAGTACCTAACTAGGTACTTACTTTCCTTATCTGGGTACAATAAATTCTTCGTGTATTTAATCGTTGAGTGGTTACCTGCTATTGCGGTATATAATAATTAATTGATAAAAGCAATTATGTTAGCTCTTTGTTTTACCAATAAGTTAAAATGTTTCATTGTTTCACTGAGGACGCCAGTACTCGTAGTGACGATGCGCACCGTGATCGCTTTAACCAACAAAACCAACTTAACCAACCCAAAATCATTGGTTGCGTAAAAATAGTAGTAAAGTAAAAATCTCGAAAAATGTTAGAAAAAAGCTTCAGCTTTTAAAAGTTTGATCGTAACAAAGAATGAAAATCATTTCAGTGGTAAATTATTTATTTATAATAATTTTCGTCACACCTTTTTTTATTACTTGGTTGACACTTCCATCACTAACGGGGGTATTTAAACGATATTTGCTACCGTTGACTATTTTAATGGACCACAAAAATGCGTGTGCTGGCAAAAACCAAAACCGAAGGAATAACAAACAAATAACAACGGCAAACAGCGTAAAATATCGACAGTAAAAACCGAAAACCAAAAACAGAGCCCAAACCGAATCCGCCGCATCCGCATTCAACCAAAAACGATAGCCGAAAAATTTCATATTTGTGTTTTGGCTTCCGCCTATACCGCCCCCAACACTCCCCTTTGCCACGCCCTTTTTTGCATGGATTTTCGCATCGAAATGTTTAAAGCGCCGCCGGCAAATATTTCCGCATTTAACTTAATTTCTCGCACTGCCGATGTTGCTGCTGTAATTGGATAATTAAATAGGCGCCACAAAATTTGCTCTTCAGCAATCCAAATAACCGCCATGAATATGAATTTCAATAATATACATTTTCAAAAAGTTTTTAATGGAATTTATTGTAAAAAATTCTCAACAATTAAAAAGCCAATGAAGTCCGTTCAAATGGAATAAATGTTTCTTTCTGCTTGTGTGTGGATGAATCATTCAATTTTGTATTCGATTTCAAGTGGGTGGGAGGCGCAAGGTTATCTGTGGATCAGGTTTTACAAAGTGGGGGCACCACAAGAATAACAGAATTTTTATATTAATTATCAAATTAGTCAATATTTATTTATTTATTTTTAGTAAACAATCGGTTTTTGTCCATCGAGTTAAATTGAGTTGAAATGCGATAAGCAACAAATAAATTTTTTTTTTATGTAATCGGGAGGGGCTATTGAATGAAAAATTTAAAGCTTTAATAAAACCATTCGTTGTGAATAAACTACAAAACATTTGTAATCAAAATCCTAGTGCAAAAACCCCCAATAAAACAAACCATTTCATGTAGTGTACCTATATTTTCCATTCCTGTACATTATCATCGTCTAAGGGGTCATCTACTTCATTTTCTGCGGAAATCCTCCAGTGGCTTTCGGATTAAAGGCGCTTGCCCTACACCCTTAGCTTCCGAAGACTGGACATCGCATCTTGCTGGCTGCACCCATTTTCTGCTACCGTTTTTTCCAGTGCGATTTGGCATTACCGCTACGGATTTCCTTTGACTTTTAAGAAGTCTTCTTGAGACTGCGAGATCTGGGCATCCGACGCACAATGGTTTGTTGAGCTGCTAGCACATCATTGTTTAAAATGATTGCCGAATAGCTAGAGTGGCCAAATCGGGCCGGCAAATAGGCGGCCTCCTCGAACAAGGACTTCTCTTGGGAATCCAGTGCCTGCCAAGCGTTAGCGGCCTCACTAATTAAGGTCATCGCAGGTATTTCGGTATCATCGCATCCTAGGCGGTACTCCCTCAGAAAGTTGTACGGGGCACAGTGGCTGATGAACACTGGCGATTTGGAACCAGTGCCAAATTTATTGACCATGACAAAGCCAGGAATAGAACAGAATTTGGAACGAAAACTCCCACTACCGATCGTTAAGAATTTAGACCGAAATAATCTACTGCTAGTTTTACGAATCGTAAATTTTTTAAAAACTTCTTGATAAATTATAGATATGTTTTGCCAAAGATTCTCTATTATTATTTGTGTATTGTAATTAAAAGAACGGTGATTTGTGTTCTTATTTCTATAAAATACTAAAAATTACACAATACGCCATAATTAAAATTTTGTAAAAAAGAAAACGTATACTGTTTTTGGTATGGCCCGGTTTGTATATTATCACTTTTAAGTCAAGGTCTCAACCAGTGTTTTCATATCAGAATAACTAAAAGAACTGAGTAATGTGATATACAAGCCTTTCTGACACAGCTCGGGAACAAATTTCCGTCTACTTAGATCTGGAAAATGTACTTTGAAATCGTGTATACATATATATAAAATAACAGCAGGGGTTAAAAAAAAAACTAAAATTACTTTTACTTTGAATCGTACTAGTTTATTTTTATTCTAATGAAGTTATAAAAAAAACACGATCATTTTCAAAAGTAAGAGTAAAAACATAACGGTGTTCTGTTCAAATAAAACAATAAGCCGCTTTGCATTAATCGGGTAATCGTTGGCATATTCAGGCCATTATTCGCATATCCTTATTACGACGTGTCCATTACAGAGTGGAAAACTGTGCAAATAATTAAAGCCAAAGAGCGATACGAATGACAGCGAGTGCAACAATTATTTGATTACTGTCGTCGGAACTGGCAGGACTTCCCCGTTCAGTTCCCTTTGCCACGTAATTGGCGAAGTGATATATGTATATATATATCCTGTACAGCGTAAACCCTCCCTCCAGTAATCGATCCAGAAATTCCATAGGAACAGCTTGCAGGCCGTTATGCAGCGAGTTATTCATAATTGTTGTTGCTGCCCAAGTGGCAGGAAAATGCATAACAAACTGAAAAATATTCAAGCCATTTTTATTGCCACACCAGACGGACCACACACCAGATATAAACATGCATATATATCTACATATATGCGAACGCGAATGTATTATAGGGACTGGCGATAATGAATGAATGCGCGCTAAAGAACCGCAGCCTGAACCGAAAAGAGCGGAATAAAACAAATACTGAAACTGCGACTGCAAACAGAGGCTACAATAACAATAAATTTAACACTTTAACGGTCGTGCGAGAAGCGGCTATATATAATAAACCCAAATCGCATTAAATTATAACATTACAAACGAAACAAATTATCAAAATATATTAGAGTATTGCCAGTTTAAAGAGTGTAGCAGTCTTTCAGGCGGGCTTTGAGTGGAGTGTTGAGCTTATCTCAAATATAAATATTTATAGCAAGACTCTTTCATATTTAACATATATATGTCAAAATTGCAAATATATTCAAATATTTTACTTGAAATTAGGTGGCGTAAGAGTAATTTTAAAGGAATCTTTTAAATCATTTCGCATTGACTAAAAAAAAAAAAAAATTGTGTTCAAATACATGTGTGTGGGACGGAAACTTTGAAGTCATTTTGCTTTACCTAAAACTTAAAATAAAGAAAAATTTTGTTTTTAAAGTCGCAGCAAATTAAACCTTATTTAGTAAACGTACTGTTGCCCGTAATCATGAAATATATTTTAACATACACTACGTGCTGTGCAAATAATTTTTACGGAAGCTTTGGAAACATTTTTTGTTTTAAAAATACATTTATTACACACCAAAATCTAATGTACATTTTCATTTTTAAAATCCCAGTAAAATGGACATTATTTAAACATAGCAAATTATATGTGTTTTCTTTCATGATTTAATTGGACACAAACAAAATTGGTGTAAATAATCAATTTATCAGATGCTGCAAGTATAACTATCCTTTTTGTCGTGATCATCTGCCAAAGAAACTATCAAAATATACATTGGACTTGGACCTTATCCAATTAAGGTGATCACTGGTACGTATGTGTATCGATGGCCACGAACCCTTACAGCCAGACAAAATATGTATAATTCCCACTAAGATGGGCCTGTCGCTGATTGTGACCACGGGTCCGCCGATGTCACCTTCGCATATACCTTTCTCGCCCTCTCCGGAGGTGCAGACATTCCATGTACGCAACTGGGGATAAATCTTTGCGCACTCTTCGTTGGACATGATCACCACATGAATGCACTGCAGCCACTTTTCCAGTTTCGATTGCCTATCTCTTTTTCCCCAGCCGCAGATCAATGTTAAATTTCCCACGTAGCGGTCATCTCTTACCGGAATAGGCGGAATCCGTGCCCGGTGTAATCGATCGCTGAACTTCATATACGGACATTTAATCAATCCAACGTCGTGTAATTTATTTGGGTGGATGTAGTAGTTTTCCTTGTATATCCTTGCAATTTTATAGCCCCACCACGCTCTTCGTGAGCCGAGGTGGAGTTCAAGAAACCTATATTTGAGAAGTGTCCCGACTGTGAGGACCCATTGGTTTGAAATCACTGTACCGGCTCCAAATTCAAGTGAGGACGTAAAACTTTCTGCCAGGACGATTCCAACTATGTAAAGGACTGTATATGGTTTGGCTCGATAGCCGCCGTAGATCCTAGGCTGGATCTTTGTTTTTTTGTCCTCACTGGCCAAAATTAGTGATGATGTAAGTAGCAATACAAAGATGAGCTTCATTGCTAAGCAATAGCAATCCCTTACCGATAGACTTTAAATACAAACTAGTAAAATATATTCATCATTTTTAAAAGCTCTTAAAAATAACTAGGCCGTAACAAACCAATTGTTTCTGGCTATCACGGGTAATCAATAATGTTTCACGGAATTTAATGGTTAATACCTATTCTAATTTTACATTTTTAAAATTTTTTAGTTGCTAATCTCAGTTGCTGTCCTATTGAATACAAATTTCTATAAGTATCATTTTATTCAAAGTTTTCTTAGTCATTAATCATTTTTTGTGTTTCTTAAATAGATTTTTAAATTAATTAAAAATCATTTTTTTTGTTTCGATTTTTTTAGGTTTGTGTTTTTACCTATACAAATATATACGATTTAAGATTTAACGTTTAATTAAAGATTTAATAAAGTTCATAATATCTGCCAGCTATTAAAATTGTATTTTGCACTGATCAACATGTGAATACCCGCAGAGTTGGTGGCTCGAAATTAAAGTACGAATTCCTTGGCGTTTTAATTGTTTAAATACTTTTCCGATTTTCCCATTTCACAATATTCGTTTGTAAATTTAATTTATTTAATGAGCAGCGCAATAAAACGCATTTACTGTCAAGTGATAAAATGGTATTCCAGCTTCGAAGCCCCATGTTTTCTTTTTTCGCCACCTCCTGGCATATTTTTCATTTATGTGTATGTGGTCCACATGTCAGTAGCATTTTCCACCCATTTCCACGGCCTGTTGACATGGAGCAATTATTAACTTTTGTGCGGCTGCTGCCATGGCGCCGTGTGTTTGTTATTAATTTCTTGTTATTTATGCAAATAGTTGGCACTTAATACGCCTGTAAATACATTTAAATATTTGTTTCTTTTTTTCACTCACTCTCTTACAAATCGCTTTATGCATTACAATAAATTAACAGCAAACACAAAGCAACAATGATCGGGTGGTGACACGTTCTCCGCTTATCAACAATTTGGAGTTCTATTTGGAATTTTAAACTCTACAGCATGTACAAAGTATGAATTTCATACAACGGTCTGGTCTGGTCCGAGTTCCATAAACTCCGCAGAGTTATCGCCAGTAGACGTGAAGTCATCTCTGGGCACACGCTGATGCACTCAAAAAAATAACAAGCTCTTAACTATACATTTATATTTAATCCTCCATTTGAGGGAATACAAAATTTGAGTTTTCGGTTACAAATCGTTACCTCGGAAATAAAATAAAGAGAGAAAAGATACTCGGACTTTAAAAACTAGACTTTTCAGGATATCTTTTTAAAGTCTATGCTTCTGCTCAAAAATTAGTAGAAAATATTGTACATTTTTAAAAAATGTTGTGCATTTATTTGCAATTAAATTTTAAGGTATATAACATATTTCTTGATACAATTTCTAGTAAAATATAAGTTAAATATTAAAAATTTAAAAATTAAACTAGATTATTCTAGTTTCGTTAGTATATATTAATAAGGATTTTATTTTAACAGTGCATGCATATGTATGCAATCTATGCTCCACGGATCGGATTCTGTTCGGGGTCACGTCTGCGGGTCCTTGCTGGCTTGGTCTGCCATGTCCTGGACCGCCTTCGTCCTGTTTGACTGCTTATGAATAAAGTTGTTTGCTGGCTTGTCAATACAGACATGGCATCATCATCAGTCCTCCTCCATTTCGGCCTTCCTTCCCCCTTTCAATTGGGGTTATTTGTCGCTCTATCTGGCCCGGATCGGTGGGTGTGAGCCCCTTTTTGTTGACTTTTCGGCTTTCAATGGGCCACGACGTCTATTCATTTTTTGTGGTGCGCTATTAGGAGTGCCATCAACACCACCCCATTCGCCCCGAGCAATTTGAAATGAAAAGTTGTCTGCCATATAAACATATGTACCGATGGAAAAAGAAAGCACAAGATGATACGAGGTAGGCAGTAAATAGCAACAGGCGTGGTGACGAAATGTGTCCTTTGACATTTGATCGCTCGCCCCCGATAATCCTGACAGCATCGCATCGTTGGCTCTTCAACAACTTCGCCAGCTTAATGGCTTGCTGCATTATTTATAGCACGTCGAGGCCCCATCAAAACGCTTTAACTGGCTGGTGGGGAAAACAGGAGAGTAAAATACTTGGAAAAGGAGCAGCGAAATGTAGTCCACCGAGTCGTTGACTTTAAGCCGTAGACAATGCGGGGCATTAGGAATCCCGATCCTGAGCGGATGCAGCAAAAGTAATTAAGCACTTTCGCGGAAGAGTCCTTTAACTAGGCTGACGATATAAAAACTAATAGAAAAAGAAGTAAAATCAAAATGTGTGATATCAAATTCTGTAACGAAAACTATTTATTTATATAGTATTTCAAATTTCTTTAATTTGTGTTTGAATATAAAATAATAGAATACAAAACAATTAAGACGGAAATAAAAATATTTCGTAACAACACTAGACATAAGAAATTTTGGTTGTTGAAGGTGCGTTCGTCACTAGATTCTTAAATCGTTTTTGTTTAATTAAGAATTATTGCATTTTTTTGAATTATTACTTATTAACACTTGTATAAATCTCTAATTGATTTGAAGTTCCTTAATAACTATAGTTATAACCTGTCAGCTTTAATTTGTTTATTAATTTTTTTTGTGGGCTATCAATTTTCCAGAGCATTTAATCTCCGGCTTTTCCGGACTCTTGTTTGTGTGCTTTTCCCACTCAATTACAAAGTTCAGCTCACATGTGCCCACAAGGAGGCTCCTGTGTTGGAATCCTGAAGTTTAGCCGGCGACGAGTTTTACTTACTCACTTGCCACGAAGCGTCTTAATTTACTTTTGCGCTCAGGCGTCTGGAAAATAAAAGTGCAAACGGTGGCAGTCTTTGTCCTGGGCCTAAAAAAGCTGCAGGACTCCGGAGGGGAAGAAAAAAAGGAGAACTACGGCAATTTCCTGAACATTTTCTAGCGGTTGAACTTGGGCTGTCGACTTGGTCCGTAGTGCAGTTAATTATAATTAAGCCGAGTTAACTAACCACTTGCTGGCTCTCGAGAAGTTCTCCTAGCACAGGATTAAAGACAGTCACCTTAAATACGTCACCTCCAGTTATTGTTTTCTTAATTAAAGTTGTGTTCATTAATATGCCGACAATCCCGAAATGTAGGCCACCAAAACTGTTGCATATTCAAACGTTTATTCAATACGACTTCAATAGGGATTGTTTCTCCTTGTGGTTGTTACTATTGTTGCAGGATTTTCACAATGACTTCGAGGAAGCTGTTATTTCATTGCAGAGAGAACATTTTTACTTGGATATAACTATGCTCGGGTCTTAATAAATTAAATAAACTAAAATATTTCCAGAAAAATTTTTGTAACTCATGTTTTTCCTAATTGTTAATATTTTAATTATTTACGTGCTTAAAAAAAAAAAATTATATCGTGTTATTCCTCATAGATTTAACTGTGGGCAATCTGGAATTTGTATCTGTTAATCGACTAGAATTTAAGTAAAGGAAGAGACATTTGTTTAATTTCAATGTTATCAACTTGACGCATCTGCAGGTTTTGTTCTCTGTGCATTTTGCCATCGGCGTTGTTCCTTCATTTGCAAGGACAATGCGACACAAAAATAGAAACCGTTGAATGAGTGAATGAATGCCTGAATGGGCGAATGAATGGATGAAAACCAGACAGAAGACTGGCAGGCAGGAATGCCATTATAATAAATAAAGAGCCTTTCACTCATAACTGGCGCACAATGCAGCCAAAGCCATGAATATCCCAACTCCTTGTGACTCCTTTTCTGGTTCCTCCGTTTGATTTATGCCAAACAATGCGAAAACGCTTTTAATAAAACTGATGGGAAAAGCTGTAGATACCGATCAATGAATATTAACTAACTTTGTGCAGCTGCAGGCAAAATAATAGACTTCCGCAAAATGCGAATGTGGATTTCTAAATATTAAAGAGTATATTTTCGCATGGCTTTTGAGTCCATTAAATGAAAAGATAAGGATTTCCTATTAATTTTGTCTTGTAATAAAAAAATGTATTAACTTATTTGGATTTATTAATTTTCTAATAGTGAAGAAAAAGTTTCGAATTTAAATGTTCAATCTGGTAGCCCAGTAAATTTGTTTTTCATCAGAAAGAGTCGCACATGCATTTTATTCTTTTTTTCTACATTCTAGTAGCTGATTTCTCCCTTTATTAGATTCAAATTGAAGGGCCAAAAGCTTTTACAATTAACACCAACTGGCGCGCCCATAAATCCACAATAAATTGTGTAGGGTGGGGATTGCATAAAAATCACATTAACAATTTGCTAGTACACGAGTATTTTATTTTTATGGCTGCATGTTTTATTTTTATTTCATGCACGTCTTTTGTACATTTTAATGCCCTTTACCACCCACACACGCACACTATGCAAAGGAGCCGCACACGCACATATAGAACACACATGTTGCCACAATGGTGTTGGTACTGTTGTTGTTGGGGGGAGGGGGGTGGAGTGGGAGTGAGGGAGAGGGGCCGAGTGCCAGACAAGGAGGCACTGCACTGTTGCCATCGAAAGCGCAATAAAAACGCTTAATTTTTCACTTTTACACGAGCGAGAGCAAAGTTTCTTTGTTGTTGCTGCCTCGGCACCTCCTCCTTTTTTTATTCTTCTGCCGCCTTTTTCAAAGGAAGGATAATGGGTGTGAAACTGGGCGAGTCCTGGATGTGTGAGCCATTTGAAAGTTATTTAATTTAATAACAAGCTCAAAACATGTTTCCAGTAAAAGCAAACGAACATAAATATGAAGATGAAATTGAGGGGAAAAGACCGATGAAATGAGAGGGAATATCCTTAGCATTCAAGAAATGGGGGAAAGTATATTGCTTTCAACTTTTTTAGGACATATGTCCAGAGGTCCTTAAAACTAGGATCTCACTGAAATTTTATACATTTTTAAAGAAAATCCTGAAGCCATAACAGCTTGTATAACCCTTTCAATGGTTAAGCAAGTTTCTTAAAGCTGATTAAAGTATTGACCAATGACAAAGTTGATTTCAATTAAAACGGCATTTTTGCATTTTAATTGCCTGCCGTTAAGATACAAATCCCCAAAAACAACATGAGAAGGCAAAACCCACACCCAAATAAATATGAAACACAAATAAACGGAAGGCAACCGATATGACCGTTGAAATCCATTTGAGTTTTAAGCCCAGCGATGACAAACAAACAAAAAGCGAATGCGATTTTTATTTATTGTACGATGCGTATTTCTCTTATTTTGCAGATTTTCCAACGATACCGGACAATCTGCGGCCGCTCACAGATTTGGATTCGTTAAAAAGTGAAAAATCAGCTGGGGAGTGCGAGGGGAAAACAATCCGACTGCAAATGCAATAAGCCGTCGACAAAAGCCGCGTCTAAGCCACAGAAAAAAGGGAAAAAGCCGTCAACGCAGCTTTAAAAACGAGGACAACAGAAGCGTTTGGCCAGGATTGCGTTCTTGTACTTTGGACACACGTGCGCCGCGGCTGCGCCCGTGCCCGTGTCCTTGGCAGGTCCTGTGACGTCGCCATTAGGGTCCTCGGCAGCCACCATGAAGCTGTCCAAGCTGTCCAACCAAACCAACTCGCAGGATCCGCAGGCGGTCAACTCGCGCATCTTCGTGGGCAATCTGAATACCTTCCAGTGCTCCAAAACGGACGTGGAGCGCATGTTTCAGATCTATGGCCGCCTCGCAGGTAAGTCCCTGTCATCCAATCCCCGATATCTCCCAATAATCGTTTGCTTTGGCATCTCCCGCAGGCATTTCCATGCATAAGGGCTATGCCTTTGTGCAGTTCACCAACCCGTTCGATGCCCGCAATGCCTGCCACGGCGAGGATGGCAAAACGGTCCTCAGCCAGACATTAGGTGAGTCCTTGTATCGATGACTGCAGGGTACATGTGATAGATATCCTGAAAATATGATGAGTGAAGGCAGGGTCTTAATATTTTAAGATTTTTAAAGTTAGTTTAAATATAAATATCAAACACTTTACAACTTAGCTTAAATTTATATACATTTTTAAAAAATATTTGAAGCAACAGAACTATGTTCCAGTTGCTGTTTATTTAAATCAATCAATTAAATTGGACTTTCAATTAATCGGGACTTTCACCTAAATAAAAACAAAGCTTTATAAGAAATGATTGTTAAGTGTCATTGTTAAATGTATTTTTTGCCTAAATATATCAATCAACTAAACTAGAGTTACATTAAACCAATTAAATTGAAGTAATTATCAAGTAAATCATAAACAGCTTCATTGATTTTTTTAGGGTATTTTAAAACTTGAATTTATTTTAAATATGAATTCAAAATGTAGCGCTAATTAAAGTTTAATATTTTCCAGGATAGCCAAAGTTTTTTAGTAATATTTAAATGTAACATCAGTTAAGGCAATATTCATTTGGGCTCTTTGTTTTGATGAGAATTTAAACCGAATTTAAAGTAATTAGTCCAAACTTGTTGTAAATTTTCAATTTAAAATACAAGTTTTTCCAGTTTTAATATCATTGAAATTAAGATTTTTTTTGTAACTTATTTATTGAAATTACAAAAGTTTTTTTTGTTAACCTTTTAATTAAAACTTGAAAACAAACATAGCTTTAATTCAAACTATAAAATACATTATATTTGTTACGATCCCTGCTTTAATGTTCCACTTGTAGTTAAAGATAGGCAGAAGGCTGTCTTAAATCTGTGCGACTGACGTGTGCCTTAAAATCCGCGCTAACGAAGGCTTCTGCTTTGCATAGACATTCCAGACCTTAACCCTCGTCCTCGCCTTGGCCAAAGTTGCATGTCCGTGGGATATCGCCAGTTACGTGGGACTGAAAGGAGTTGGGAGTCGGGCGGAGTGGAGTCGTCAGGTTAATGGCCGCTGGCAGCGGAAGCGTTGCACTAAAATCGAACAAACGCGCGAAAAAAGCCACAAAGGCGCCGGGAAAACAGGAGGTGCGGATGGGCTGGTTGGCCCGTCCTGGCTTATGGCTTACATAGTAGGCAATGGTAATGAAGGAGCCTCGATCCTGGCATGTGTAGTGGCCATATCTCTGGGCACCCCACGACTAATGTCTGAGTATTTCGACGGGCGGAAGTCGCTGCCGGCCGCAAAAACTTAAAGTGCGGCCGACATAAATCTTTGCACGATACTTTTAATGAAATTTCAATGTTGTGCCAGACAGTCGACTGTCTTTTGTGTTTGCGAATTTTCCCTGACTATCTGACAGTCTAGTCGTTCGGCGTTTAATGAAATAATTCAACGCCAGTTGCAGCTGCCATGTTGACGGTTCCGCGACTCACTTCCCTCATTTTTTCTTTCTCCAGTGCGTGTCTCGTGTGGAGAACAAGTTAATGCACTTAGTGCTCTGTGTCAGCTGATGATGCTTTTCTGCTGCTGGCGGCAACGCTGCGGATGCTTCATATTCATACGCCCCGTTCGCCGGCGAATAAAGGGCAATTCCGCAGCTCCCGCTTATGCAAATGCAGATTGCTAAATGTGGAATGCTAATTCTACTGATTAGGAATAAGAGAACCAACAACGGAGTGGCCGACGTAATTTTTCATTGCTACGCGCCATTGACTTTGAAGCGCTGGAAAATGCGGCCAGTCCAACTAAAGAGATTTACACTGGGGGAAAAGGGAGTCGCCTGGCTGGCTGACTGGAACTTTGTGCAAATCCTTCTTACGCTTTTATCCTTAATCTTAATTATAGCCTGCCAGCCCAACAGTCGGACAGTGAGGCAGAAAAAGGGAAGCACAAATAAGAAAAAAAAACCAAGAAGGAAATAAAGCAGCTGAGAAATGAAAGTGGCAAAGCCATCACGCCCGTTTTTCTTGTTGTATTTTTTTTTTAAACCGAACCCACCAATTTGTAGATAGCTCTTGGTTGCTCAGAATTTTCCCCCATTTCCTATTTTTCAAGGGAGTGGTGGCACAGCCGTCGCACTTCAAACTTTGTCATGAATTATGATGAATGAGCGTGGGCTGCGAATGGGTGTTCCTTCCCATAATCCTTTTTGCCTCCTAAAAATATCTATCCATATAACAAAACGGTCTCTGTCGTACCCTTTTCATTTGAAAATCAAATGTGGTTAGCTAATATTATTACACTTGAGGATTAGTGAATAAAGAAATGCTTAACAAAAGTTAAATATAAATATATTGTTAATGAAAATCAAGTGGCAGTTACAATAAATGTTTTAAATCTTTGCAAGACTATAGAGCATTTATATTTCGACTATCTATATTTTAAAATTCTGCGTCATGGTTTTTTATGCATAAACAAGAACTGACAATGAATATTCCGGGTTTGGCGCACTTTTATTAAGATTAATGATTGGTGTGCAGCCAGATTGAATTAGGCGGGGAATGCAGTTGGCCAATGGACATGCATAAAAAAAAAAAAAAAAAATTTTTAATCACTCACAGCTCGACCATTCATTTGCATAGTGAAAGGAATAGGAGGATAAAGGACCGCCTTTGTTTTCCCTAGCTTTTTGTGTACAGCTTAGACAATGACTTCAAAGGACACGAATTTTGTGTGTACTTATATTTTCGGGACATAAAACAGATTGCCTTTTGTCATTAAAAAATTTCTATTTTCAATTACTTCCTTTGCAGATGTCAACATGGTGGCCGAACCGAAAGCGCATCAGATCGGAAGAAAACGGCAGAATGTGAGCAAGACGGGAAACGATTGGTGAGTGTTAGGCAGGATTACCAAGGACTTCCCACTGGAATCCCAGTCAATTTTTGGCTCATTTTAATTTAATCTAAAAGTTTACTCTGCTCAATTTAACGCCGCCATGTGGCATTCGCTTAGACTTTATTTACATATCATTTAACGGGTGGGTTTTTCGGATGTTTTCGGGGGTCCGCACAGCAAATAAATAAATAAATAAGGAACCATTCATCAGGCCATGGGGTCGTCCATTGTTTCAACGCCCGTCCGGCATAAAATATTTGGCTGTCAACGGCTAGCCGGGTTTTTTTGCACCCAACCGGAACACTTCAGGCCAAGTTCTCGTCTCCATTTCTGTTTTACTTTTCGCCAGTGAGGGGGTCAGTCGGTGTTCGAGTCCTGCGTCAACACACACACACACTCACACTATATGGGAGTATCCTGTGGATCCTGTGAGTGACAGTTGCAATGTATGCCATATTGTCCTGCCGCTGACATGTGCACTTGTTTGTCTTTGTCGTGGCGCGGCCTTAATGATGACTGAGCGACATTCACAATTTATTTGGGCCTTGAGCTCCAGACCTTCGCTACTCGTGTGGAAATATTTAATTTAAGCTTAATGACGCCGAAACGAAATGCGCAGTGCGTTGGCTTTAAAAAGGACAACGGGCAGGAGCCCAACTGACATCGACTTGATTGTAATTAAAACGCAAACATGGCAACCCCCCCACCTCTACTCCCACTCCCACTCCCACACTCTCAAACTAAATATGTCCAGGTGCTCCCGTGTTTGTCATTAAACGGCTGCTCACCTCTTCCCCGCCCTATCGACCACACAAACTGACCGAAAAAGCCACAATTGTTGCACCCCTCCTCCTGGCCAGAATCTGCCCCCTCGCCCACTCATCTGACCACAATTGGTTGGCTTTGCCAGAGGGGTTCGGGCCTTCGTCCTGTTCCGGCATTTGTATCAATCACTGGCAACATAACCCAACGGGAGGCCCAGCACACAAACACAATTGCCAAATGACAATCGAAACGGCGGCAATGGCAGCCTAAACAAATATTGACGGACTGATGGGCGGGTTGAGGAAGTGACTAACTGACAAAGCGTTTGGGCAACAGTTGGCAGGCTGTTCATTTGCAGTTAATGAGAGGGTATCCACATTTGTGGGTGAGTTTAGACAATAGGAAAAGTTTGAAACAGCAAATGAATTTAATCCTTAAATTATTGCATTAAAAAATAAATATTGTTATAATAGCATTAGCTAATTAGATTTAGTTAAGATCATGTATTTAATTAAAATGTGAAATATTCAGGAGCCTATTAAATTAACGTAGCATTAATTGTACATATTTGAATTAAATTCAGTATATTTAAAAAAATATTAAAATATATTATATGATTCAATTTAAAATACATATTATTTTGAAAGATTGATAATTGAAAATTTAAATTAAATTCCCAAATCTTTCGTATATTGATGAACTATATAAAATGGATATAAATGATAATTTATCTCTGTTATTTTAATTAAGTGATATGTTTTGTGATTTAACATTTTAAGGGTACATTAGCGAGATTAATTTGTTAAGTAATTTTAATCTAGGGTATTGACAGTTCGTTTTTAGAATGGGTTTAAGCGGAAGTCACATTTTTCCTGTGGATTTCTTTGCCACATACTTTTTGGGGCATGACCGCAGCTGACACTTCAATTAGCGGGCAAATGTTTACTGAGCAGATTACCACCTCTAAATATCTATTTAATGTGTTCTTAACAGACTGACAAGAACCTTAGATAAAATCAATATATTAAATATATTTACCAGCATTAAAGAGCTTATTATTATAATAGTATTGGTATACATAAACTAGATTGAGAACGCTACTTTTAAGTGACTTTACTTAAAAATTAATGACTTATACTGGTTTTAAACACAACATTTGAATTTCTTTCTGTGCAGGGACTACTTCTACGACAGCTACTGCTCTTCGGCGTTGTTACGGGGCGGCGGGGGGTGTTGGCGGGGGTGGTTCGAACGGGGTGCGGGCCAAGAAGCGGAAGCGCCTAATGACCAACGGGAGCGGGCTGGCGGTGTCCGTGCAACAGCAACAACAGCAGCAGCATGGACAGCATCATCACAGTGCGGCCGCAGTGGCAGCCGCCGTCCATCAGCAACAGCAAGTGCAGCAGCAGCAGCAGCAACAACACCAGCAACAGCAGCAACATCAGCAGCAGGTGGCTGCCGTTGCCATGGCGGCGATGGCCAATTTGTTGCCCCAGCAGCAATTGCTGCTGCATCAGCAGAATCTGCTCTCCAATGCGGCAGTGGCAACAACGGCGACGGCGGCTCCAGGATCCCTCCACTGGTCACAGTACAAACAGGAGCAACAGCACCACACCCATGCGCACCATCCGCACCACCAGCAACCGTTCGGATTCCAGCTAAAGAGCAGCGTGGCTGTCCAGGCGACGACATCGCCGCAAAATGCAAAGTCAGCAATAATTGCTAATCAAACGGCGCTCGGCGAGCCATATCCGGTTGGAGCCACCGCCTTCGCCACCCATCACCAGCATCAGCAACAGCAACATCAGCAGCCGTTGTTGCAACCGTTAACTCTGGCATTGTCCCCACAACAACCGCAGCCTCATCAGGCGGCAACACCACTACAATTGCACAGCCAATTGATGCAGCAACACCAACAGCAACAACAGCAGCAGCAACAGCAGCAGCAGCATCAACAGCAGCAACACCAACAGCAGCAACATGCTCAGGAGCAATTAAGTTTGCATCAGCAATGGGGACCATTCAAAGTCTACAGTGAGTATTGACTTGAGTTTGCTTAAGGGGATGCTGCAAAATTGGGAGATAAAACCTGAGAAGTATATTTTAATGATTATCAGAGGTTTTATCTATGGAGTTGCTAAAAAAAAACTTCTAAGGGTTAACTTTAGGGATTAAATTTAAAACGGAGTCAGCTAAAGAATGTACAAAAAACTTAGAAGCACTTCATATAGAGAGGTTTTTGTGGTTTTTTATAATGTCAATAGATTTTTTGTTAGAGACAAGTTAAAACTAATTATTGCTTGTTTTAAATCGAACAAAAAGTGAAAAATAACTTTAAATGATATACAATTAATAGATAAATATATAGAACCGGTTTAATGTATCCCAACATTGTAAAGACCCAGTTCCATACGCGCGATTTATCTCCCCGTGTTACAAATTGAAAAGGCACGGATTTGTTAGATTCGTGGTTTATAGTACCTTGTTCTCAATTTTTCTGGACCTTGTTTGAGAATCTTCCTGTTCGACCTTCCGGAATTTCCGCCTAGTCTTGATGATCCATCTTTTAGACCGCAACATATTTTGTATTTCTTTCATTTAATATTTCTGTATACCCTTATGGAAAATTAAAATTTAGATCGTGCAAAGAGACCTTTATATATGTATTCCTGAACCATGTAAGTTCAACTCCTAGTTTACCTGCTTTAAGGTGTCAAAAATGTTGTTGCCTGACGACAACTTCTCTGAAAATGAGAAATGTGGCACATGGCCCAGCTCTCATCGCCGTTCTGTCAGCCATTGCAGCCATATCCAGTGTCGTCCACGGTCAACAGCAGGCGATGTCCATGCCCCTGGCGCAATCCCCTCCACAACAGCGCCTGACGCCGGATTACGTAAAGGGAATCCTCAGCCTGAAGAGCAGTCTGCTGGCCAGCAAGCAGTCCTTGAATCAGGGTTCCAATCCTATAATCAGAACCGGCATGAGGTATACGCCGCAATTGGAGACTAAGCAGCCGCAGCAGGAGATTCAGGTTGAACCCGTTGCCAATCTGAGGCCATCTCCTCCAGCTTACAGAGCCCTTGTTCACTCCCAGATGCCGCAGGTCAAGTTGAATCGATATAGCCAGGAGTTCCCGGCGCCCCACCTCTTCCAGCCGCCTTTTGTTCCCTTGTCAACAAAGCTGGAGTCACAGGACTCGCAGGACTCACAGGACTCACCGCCCACGGCCGAACAACTGGAGTTGCTGCAAAAGTTGTCCGAGTTTTTTGGCCAGCGACAGCAGTTGCAACAACAGGTGCAACCACAGCAGTCGGCGAACTGTGCTCATGACCAAAGTGAAGGAAAAGAAATGTGCAATTCTGACCCCCTATCAGATTGTGATGCAACCACAAAAGAACCCCCCAAAAATGAGGAAGATTCGGTTAACGTGGATGTTAAGAATAAGGAGGTCGAGGAGAGTACCACAGTCCAGCCGAAACCTTCTGTGGTCCCCAAAACAAAGGCTACGAAGGCGAATATCGCCAAGTCCTCCACTCATAAGCCCACAACAACTCGTACTACCAAATCAACTACAAAAAAATTGCCCTGTTGCACTAAGCCAGTGAAGCAGACCCTTGCGAAGGCTCCCAATGTCATTAGTTTTTCGCTGAATATTGAAAATGATAATACCGAGGAGGCAAAGTCCCTGCAACAACAACCTCGAAGTGGTAGACATGAGATTCAGCCTGATTTGCGTATAAATGCCATCACCAACTTACTGAGATATCGCAGAAAAAGAGCTCAGAGTGCAGCTCCATATCCCAAGCCCTTTTTCGAGCTAAAAGGTCAAGAACTCAAGTTAAAGAGTCGAACGAAACGAAAAAAGAGTAAGATACTGGACAAAAAGCAACTCCTTCAGGCTGAGCTCAAAATCTGGCCCATTAGCATACGATCAAGTTGAGAAGAAATATATTTTTTAAGAAATGAATTTAAATAAATATTTAAGAGAATGAGAATAGTTTGGTTTTTAAACTAGGAAATATGAAATTAATTGTTCCCTTGTTCCAACTAGATGTTCTATAGTTTATCACATAGATTCAACAAAGTTTTAAGACTATAGACAACAGTATTTTGAACATAGCACTATGGGGCCAACGACCACATTCGTTGGCCAAAACCCATTTTTGAAAAGTCGTCAAAACCAAAAAAGTTGTTTTAGGATATATTAACAGAAGACCAATCTGCAATGTTACGTATCAGGAATTCCGATAGAGTGCGCTTCTGTTAAGATAACAGCTGTTAAATCAGATGTTTAAGATGCAAGCCACGTGCTTTTGAAATTCGACTTTTAAATTGCATTTTTAAAGTGTTTAAAAAGCAGTTTATAAGCGTTCCAAAAAAATTTTTGTGATATGAATTCGATGAATGGTGGTGTGTACTTAGTGTTTATGTGTTTAAACGGTTGAAATCTATCGTGCTGTCTTTGAACTTAAGTGATAAAGTGAGTTGCCTAAATCGCGTTTTTTAAATAGAAAACTAATTTTTAAATAGAGCAACAAAGTGAGTCCAGCGGAGTCCACTTCTGAAACCTATTCAGATTTGTAGAGTATTAAATTCTTTTTAAAATGTATATGGTTAGAATCGCCACTTATTGCCAAAATTTAATTTTAAGCACATAACCTTAAGTTTTGCAACCTTAACAGTAGTTGCGTTGAATATTAGAATCCTTTTGATTTTCAATAAAATATTGAACTAGAATCTGAAGAGCATGATGTTTAATAGCAGGTCCCATTTTTTTACTTATTAATAAAATTATTTTAATCCGATTTTCGTGCATTTACATTGAACCTTTGTGGAACGAAGAACATTTTGCTTTGCATTTTGAATTCTATTCAGAAGCAGATATAAAAAATATAAAAAAAATATAATATAAAAAATTATTCGATTATCTTGAAAAATAACAAAGTTGACTAAATCGATCGTATGGCAGCTATGGGATATATTTGTTCGATCCTTTTCTTTTTAACATATATGTTGCCTAAGGATACCAAAAAACGATTGGTAAAGTTTTATCTCGATATCTCTAAAATTGAGCGAGTTATTAATTTTGGCCAACAAAAGTGGTCGTTGGCCCCATAGTGCATAGGTTCAACAGTTTTGTAAGACCTATTCCATTGCATATTTACAGGCAATCCGGACACATTAATCTGCGGCAATTGCCGGGAATCCTTTGGCGAGCTGTCTGAGTTATTGGACCACAAGAAAAGTTATTGCAAGCTGAGGTTCACATGCAAGTGCCAGGATGTTGCCTTTGCGGCAAGTGCAAGTAAGTGGGCGTTTCGCTTTTTGGGGCGTGGCTGGGGGATGGGTGTGGCAGCTTGTCTGTTGGCAATTAATTTATGATTGTTAAACACTTTTTGCCCCAAACCCCCGGGCCAAAGAGTTTGTCTAAGGCTCATTGTGAGTTGGAGGCCTCTGTTTGCCAGTCAGCAACATCTGTTTGGCCGGGCATTCAGCAGGATGTCTGTGTGGATTCATGTCCTGCGGCTGCTTGCAAATGCATTTAAAATTGAGTTATTTATGCGCCAGAGCCTCCAATGTCTGCCCTCTGCAAATTCCAACTTAAATAACTAATTAATTCTCGCATGTTTCGCCTGCGAATCTCTTGTGAAAATGTAGAAACGCCACCGACGAGCGCCAAATTGCTGTGTGCCGTTTGCAAGGATGCGTTCGCCAATCCCTGGGATTTGATGGTCCATGCCCAGTCCGCGCACATGGTTAACATTTACGAGCTGGGGGATGATGAGGCCAACACCGCCAGCAATAATGCAACTGCCAAGGCTTTAGTGGAGAATGGCCATCCAACGATTGCCGCCGATGAGGCTGCCACTAAGCAGCAGATGCCAGCTTCATCAACACTTAACAAGGAGCCCAATAACAATAACAAAATTAGCAACAACAACAACGATACTATAGCCAGCAACAACAACAATGGGCATATGTCACCCTCGGGAACGGAAATCATAATGGCATCGGGATCGACTGAAAATGGAGCTGCCAGCGACATGGAGACCCACTGCCTGGACATCAAATTCAGCCCAAGTGCCAGTCCCAAGGAGGTGGGTGACTTGGCCATTCCCTCGCCTGGCAGAGATTCCCTAATGATTCTATTGCAGGATCAGCACAGGGACGATCTCTCCCTGGATGGACGCATGTCGAGCAGCTCCCAGCAGACCCATCACTCGGATGAGCTGAACGGCAAGTTGCTGAACGGCTCCGTCTCCTCGAGGGGCAGTTCACCCGGTTTGGAGGCGGATGAGCCGCCGGCCACAAGGGCCTGTATTGTTCGCACCCTGAGCATTGTGAGTATGGATGATCCTTTGGAAATAACATTAAGTATACCCAACAAAGATAATTTCAAGTCAAATATGGCAATTATGCAGAGAACTTCGTTTGCTTAGGAAATAATTATGTTTGTACATACATATATGCTGCAATTGCTGAATGACTTAATTGAATTTTAGTTTGAATCAGAATTGAGTTTTACATTCCTCAGGGACCAAAAATAATCATTATTAAAACTACTAAGATTTTTATTTATTTTATTCCCCATTTGTCTGATTTTAAGATTTAACTTACACATACAAGATATTTAGTTTAATTTGGATATTTTGTATTAAGAATTTTTTTCATACATATATTTATTTTGCCAAAAAATAAAATAAAATATTTTCTGAATTTAGTTCATTGTTTCCTTGTATTTTGAAAATAAGTAATTTACAACATAATAGGAGCAAATTATTGATATATTCGCATAAGTGAGTCATAAAATTTGTATAAGTATTTTTCTACGAATAGATAAAAACCATGTGAAAGATACATATGTCATTTTTTGCATATAGCCTATAATCGATTGCAATGTGATACATCTCGAACTCCTTTTTCTTCTATTTTCAGGAGGCGTCTGGGCCAACCGCATCGCCCACTGCCACCGCCTTGAGCCTGATGTCAAACAGCTTGAGCCTGGCCCTCGCACCGCAATAGGTCAAAGGTCAAGAGGGGGTCAAATGCTCCTGGGAAGGGCAATCCGGCTCCGCGGGCTGCCTTTTGGAGTGGTGTTTTGTGCTATCGAAATCCGATACAAGTGCAATTTCTTCAGTATTTTTGTAACAGACTAACCTTGGAGGGAAGCTAATAAGTCAGAAAAAAAAGATGTGGAACGGATAACGTAAATTACGGAAAACATATCATTTTAAATTAGCCATAGATATGACATACGAGCAGCTATATAGTGTACTGCGGTAGCTATATCAATTACAGCCATGTGTACGTTTATATGTAATGTATTTGTATTCGTAATTGTAATTGTAAACGCCTTTGTGTTTCTGTTGTTTGCATGTCCTTTGGGTTTAACGTTTCAAACGAGAGTATTTATTTGGGTTTCAAAACTGCATAAGTGAACGTATAGGTAAAATTATGGAAAGCTTAAACTGTCACCGCCTGTCGGTGGTGCATATTGAACGGTAATCGAGCTTTGTATATAGTTAATACCAATTACAAGGTTACAAATTATGGAATTATAAGATCATTGTTAATATCCGGTCAATTGTCTGGCTCCGGCTTTAACCGATGTTTATATTTTGGATATTATTTACGGAATAAATTAATCGTAGTTGGAAGCAAAAATAACCCACGCAATTGTATATCAAAAGTAGCATAGTGACAACAGGTGTTTCAAAAACAAATTCGGAGAAACTTGCTATATTATCTAGAATCATAATCAAATATGCGTAATATTAATAGCGACTATATTCTGTAATAACTATATCAAAAGTAGCGGCTATGTAAATAGGATAATCAACGTATTATGTACTTACCAAGCAAACAATTTGTAAACAGTAACAACATTCAATTCAATGTCCTCCAGCTAAAGCATATAAACCAACAAATGAAATGTATTATGCAAATGGGAATACCAAAAATAAAATATATATAAACAGATATATAATCAATCGAGTCTTTAACTGTTTTGTTACGGAAGGGGAAAGCATTTGCTGAATTTATTCCTTTAAATCAAGCGACTTTCTTAGTTTCATTTTCGACGGGGCATCAGAAATTCTATTTCGCAGCTCATTAAAATAAATGACGATCTCCAGACTCTGCCAGACAGAGAAGTGTGTAAATATTTACGGCTGGCGAAAGGAACAGGTAACGGCAAGTGCAAGGACAATGCCAACATTGTTAAAGGCACAACGTCACAATAATGAAAAGCCGCAACAAAGCTTGAGTTAGGGGTTTCCTTTTTGGCCGCGTTCACCAGGACCTGCGAAAAATTTGGACACAATGCCCCCTGAATGCAGTTCACTTTATTAAAATGCGCAACCAAAATGGTCGCATCGTGTTGTGCGCTGTCGGAGAGTCCTTTTTGTTGTGTCCTTGCCGCTGGCCATTGGGCTTTTTTCTGTACTCTTATTAAAGGGTAGGTGAATTTTCGCAGTCGAAAGCTTTTTGACAAACGTGTTTTTTTTTGCCTATGGAAGTTTAAATAGAACATTTTTGGGCTATAACCCCAAATATATATAATTGAGGTACCATGGGTGGAAATATTCTGTTATTTAAAAGGTCGAATATATTTTATTTGCCTAATTAAATGAACATAAGTCCTGTAATCAAGCTCGATAAATATAGGTCATGAATGCCATGTCAATTTTAATAATGCCAAATTTATTTTATGAAGGAGTTATTAATTTGATATTAATTTTAAGAAACTTTAATTGTCAAACCATTTTAAATAATTAAATTTTTAATAGTGCTTTGATTTTTGAATACTGAGGCAGGTAATCGACTTTTCAAAAAAAATTACTAAATCAATAAATATACAGGTAAAGAAGAAATCTAACAAATTTGGTTTATAATAATGCCTTTGTAGATTTTAGCTTAATTTGACTAACTTATTCTTTGCTTTTAAAAGATTTATTTATTTATTATAAATGATAGAATAGTTTATAAAGCTGAAGCTAACATAAAAGGGCATAGTACTAGCCTTCGAATATGTTTGTCTAAAGATGGTTAAAAGTTGTTTAGGGTATTTGCTAGTTGTTAATACAAGTTTTAAGGGACTTTCGTTTCTGCGCCGTGTTTAACCTGAGAATTTGACTCGACATTGTTGGCGTCTGCAGCCGTTTGCCATTTTGTTTCGAGGTCGAGCTAAGCGCCTGCAGTCAAGTGGCATTCAGTGGAGGCCGGGATTTAAAATGCATAAGTCCGGGCTGCCGGGAAGTGGCCGCTTTCAATTTGGCCACGGCCATTCGGCTGCACCTGTCGCGGTGGCGCACTTGCAGATGAGGATGTGGCGACCCGGGGCTTGGCGAGCTTAAAGTGCGCACTGGCTAATTAGAATGCCTCGCCCAGTGCAGGCTCAAAGGTAACATTTAGCCGGGCAATGGGTCGGAGTGGACAATTAGGGGGGGGACTGGAGAAAGTTCACAGCCCCAGGGACGCGGCTCCAGTGCGAGCTTGCAAATTACGCCAGCTTAGCGAAATGAAGTAATTGAAACGCCACCGAAAACGCCACCTTCCCACGCCAACAAAAAATTCGTGGAAACGTATGCGTGCCGCAGTCGCAATCCTCCGGGGTTGTCCAATGTCCACTGTCCACTATCCAGAGGACCTCCCAGGACAGCCGCACCCCGCCACACGGTGGATATAAAAGCCGGGGTCTTGCGTGCGCACCGCTGACTTAGTCAACGAACCTCCAGCACGCCGGACCGGATGTCGACAAACAGCACACAACCACACACACCCAGTCACGAGGTGGCGGTCCGTCCAGTGCCCTGTGCCGCCAACCAGTGGAAACGGGCCGCTCTGATGGCCCGGATGGCTCCGGCATTCCGGGAAACCGTTTCCGACGACAGCGAGGACGAGGTGGACACCAAGAAGCAGATCAAGTATGGCAGCGGCTTCCAGGCGGCCAAGGCCATCATTCACGAGTATTGCGACTATACGACCATCCATGGAATCCGGTATCTGGGCGAGAAGAAGCGACCCTGGCTGGAGCGACTCTTCTGGATCTCTGTGCTCGTTCTATCGGTCTTCACCTGCGTCAAGCTGACCCTAAACATCTGGGACAAGTGGAACAACAACCCGGTGATTGTCAGTTTCGCAGAGAAGTCCACGCCCGTGTGGCAGATCCCCTTTCCCGCCGTCACTGTTTGTCCGGAGACGAAGACACGCCGTGGGATATTCAACTTCACGGACTCGTATCACCAACTCCGCGACTTCCGGAATAATGTCAGTGACATATTGGATTTGACCAATAAGCAGTAAGTCTGGGTACTGATACCAAGGAGCAGGGTAGATTTCTCAATGACATGTTAGAGTTTGACTTCAAGTTAAGTAGAAATTTCGGAAACATTTTCTTTCATTGGAGTTAGTTTTTCTGCACAGTTTATCTCATAGGTAGCTTGGTAATCTAATCCTTAACTTCACAATTTGAAATCAGCACTCCGAAAACACCCAAAAAACAGATTTAAATAAAAATGTCTAAATGGACTACAATTTTAGAAGTAACAAGAAAGGAAAGCTAACTTCGGGCGGAGCCGAAGTTGATATACCCTTGCAGAATTCTCTATAATAATATTCTCCAAAATTATTCCTATGATGCATTCTTAATACTCATAAAAAATCCAAACTTCCTAACTTTAAAAACACCAAAGTTATGGCATTTCGAATCGTTCAGTTATATGGCAGCTATAGGATATAGTCGGCCGATCCTTATGAAATTTGGTAGGTCGGATTGATTGGCCAAATATAAAACCTGTAGAAAATCTTAACTTTCTAACTTTACAAACACCAAAGTTATGGCATTTCCAATCGTTCAGTTATATGGCAGCTATAGGATATAGTCGGCCGATCCTTATGAAATTTGGTAGGTCGGATTGATTGGCCAAATATAAAACCCATAGAAAATCCCAACTTTCTAACTTTACAAACACCAAAGTTATGGCATTTCCGATCAATCAGTTATATGGCAGCTATAGGATATAGTAGGCCGATCCTTATGAAATTTGGTACGTCGGATTGATTGGCCAAATATAATACCCATAGAGAGTCCCAACTTCCTAACTTAACAAACAGCAGAGTTATGGCATTTCCGATCAATCAGTTATATGGCAGCTATAGGATATAGTCGGCCGATCCCGGCCGTTCCGACTTATATACTGCGTGCAAAGGAAAGAAGGGTGTGTGCAAAGTTTCAATTCGATAGCTTTAAAACTGAGAGATTAGTTTGCGTAGAAACAGACAGACGGACAGACGGACAGACGGACATGGCTATATCAACTCAGGAGGTGATCCTGATCAAGAATATATATACTTTATAGGGTCGGAGATGCCTCCTTCACTGCGTTGCACACTTTTGACCAAAATTATAATACCCTCTGCAAGGGTATAAAAATCCATATATTTTAGAACTTACAAAAATATTTATTTATACGAAAAATATTTAGACTAGCTTTATCTTTATCAAAATTATCAAAAATTAAGCCGGAAGATAAAACTGTCCAATTTTTGAGATTTTAGAAACATTTATAATTCCTTTTTTGGGACTAAGAAACATTTATTTATTTTCACTGCAGAAAAGAATTATATGGCGCTGTGTCGCAGGTTTGTGAGCCCCACTTACATGATGTTATTATTGGAAACAAAACCAGGAGGGGAATGGAGATCATCGATGCTTTGACCGAGGTATCACCCCTTTTCGATGACACCTATCTCAACTGCAAGTGGCGGAATTCTCCGATTAAATGCAATGAGATCTTCCACAAATTTGTGACAGAGGATGGCGTTTGCTTCAGTTTCAACTCACTCAGTCCAGCGGAGATCTTTCGAGCTGAAGGGTAAGGATGGGGGTTGAATTAAAAAGGAACTAATATTCTGAAGCAGAGATTCCTTGGCAGCATTATACCTGACTTTATATTCCGCGAGGAGAATCGTCTATCCATGGACTGGAATGTGGAGGACGGTTATAGCGCCACTGCGGATACTTCACCTTATCCCAATCGAGTTTTGGGTCCCGGAGCTCGAGCTGGACTTTATCTATTTATGGGTGGTGCGGAGATTGATTTTGATGACATGTGCCGTGGTCCCGTTCAGGGTTTCAAGGTGGGATTTCACATATCTTCCTTTAACCATAGGGTTAATTAAAAGACAACACATTGTAGATCTTATTACACACTCCTGGAGATGTGGCCCAAGTGTCCAAGCAGTACTTCCGCATACCCTTCGACCAGGAAGTGCTCATCTCTATACGTCCCAAGATCATCACCACTTCGGATGGCCTGAAGCACTACGAACCCAATCGACGGCAGTGTTACTTCCAGAAGGAAAGAGAACTGCGCTACTTTAATATCTATTCGCAGAGTAATTGCGAACTGGAGTGCCTGGCTAATTTCACTTTGTCCAAGTGCGGCTGTGTCAAGTTCAATATGCCACGTTAGCTTTATTCAGGTTTGTTTAAGGATTTGGATCTAATTATACTGATTTCAGGTAATGTCAATATGCCTGTGTGCGGTGATGCCAACTTGGCTTGCTATAACCAAGCGGAGGATGAGCTGCTACTCAGGGAGTTCAACCAGGGATTGGCCAATTCAGGGGAAAATTCTCGGGGAGAAACTGAGTGCAACTGTCTGCCATCATGCACATCCATCGCCTACGAGGCTGAGATCTCCCAGGCTGACTTCGATTACAATACAGTGATCAATCGGGATACACAGGAGGGCAAGGACGAACACGCTAAGAGGCAAGGGTAAGTAGTCAGATTATGGAATATTTCCAGGGAGTATGTGATTTTATTTATACGACATTTGACCAAAACTATATAAATATTTGTAACAGAAAAACATATCTATTTGTAGTTTTTGTGACCCAAATACTGGATTGTATTTATTTATTTTTGTCAGCATTATTTATAATCGTTTCTTAT